TGTGGCTACCTAACTAGGGTGTTTTGTTTACTGACTTAGAGGGATTTATTTTGGCTTGGTTGTTTTTCCATTATTTAAAAAAACAGCTTAAACCTACAGGAATGTTTAATTACACTTAATATATACATTCCACCTTTCCCAAATCAGACTGAATTATATGTACCTTCCATCATATGAAATACATATATAGGTATATGTGTGTATATGTGTGTGAGTATATATATGTATACATGCTATATAGAGAGAGTGAAAGAGTAGTTTTATGATGAATTCAGGTCTCAAATATTGAAAAAAATTAATTCAAAAAATATATTTTTATATAGTGTATATAACTATATAATATATATAATAAATACTATCATAAAACCTTAAGAGTTATTTAATTTTTCTTCTTAGTAATTTACTTGGAGCAAATAATTCTAATGTCAGTAAGCTGAGATCAAATAATTCTCAACATTGTTGAAATGTTCTAAAAATAATTTGCTTAATAACAAACTAATAAGGAAATTAATAGAGTCAGTTTTACATTTTCAAAACTCCAGTTATCTTTTGCTAAAAATGTTAAAGATGATATAAACATCATAGTATGTTAAAAGTTGCCACTTTACACTTTTCTGATTATGCTTTTTATAGATTTATATTAATAATTTTAAGTTAGTATTTATATGGAAGACATTTCTTTGAAATCTTCTTGACATGGTAAGTGCAATTATTTTCTGTTCAATCTGAGGAAAGGATGTATTGTTTCAATCATTCATCAGCCACTACTTGTTGAGTACTACACACTGGAAACACAAGACTGACTAAGAAAAGGAAAGCTCTTAGTAAGCCAAGACTGTAATGGGACAGATGGACACTACTGAATGGTTGTTTCCTGCTCCCCAGTTCATGTGTTCAATTCTAATCCCCAGTGTGATAGCATCTGGATGAGGCCCTTGGGAAGATGAGTAGATTGTGAGGGTGGAGCCCTCATGAATAGGCTTAGTGCCCTTATAGAAGAGATCCCAGAGAGCTCCTGTGCCCCTTACATCATGCAAGGACACAGTGAAAAGATGGTCTTTTAGGAAGCAGACCCTTATTACATATCAAATATGCCATTGCCTTGATGCTGGACTTCCCAACCTAAATAAATTTCTGTTGTTTATAAGCCACTCAGTTGGTAGTGTTCTGTTTTAGTAGCCTGGATGGAGTAGGATGGAAATGAAAACCAATTATTGCAAAAAAAGTGGATGTGGTCTATCACAGAGGCATGCACATGGAATAGAGGAGAAGGGAAAGGAGGTAATAGTGCATTTTCAGAGAAGGATTAAGGAAGTTTTCATAGATGGCAGAGCATGTATAATGAGTTTGTAAGGAAGAATCAGAGCTTGTACAGAGCCTCCTAGTACAAGCACTAGGAGGCTCACGGCACATGTGTGCAGTTGTGCTAAGTTGCTTGTAGGTGGAAGGTTGGTAAGGGGCGACCTGAAGCAGAAGAATGAGGAAGGGCCATGTGGCTGCATATACTGTCCTGGGGCATTTGCAGCTCATCTGATTCTACTTCTCATCCCTCTTCAGCAGAGGGAGCACTAGCTTTTAATGAGTCAGTTTCTCTCGTCTGGAGTACACTCTGCTCATTCACCACTGTCCCCATGTCTTTTCCAAACTTGGGCACTGTGATGGTGAATGAAACTGCACTTCTCTTTGTTTTTAAAGATACTGTTTTATGAAGTATTAGATGGGTATCTGACTCAGAATCCTTTAGGAGACTTCCAAAGCCATAAATAATATTTAAGATAAACATCACAAATATGCAATGGCTGTGGAAATAAGTAGGGAGACAGGAAAATCTGTCTGTTTAGCAGGACTGACATTCCAACACCATGACTCCAATTTTTCTTTTTTTAAATATCGTAAAGCCTAAATACGAAACTTCAGAATGTGAATGTTGACCATGCTGAAGGACTGGGGCGATGGAATGATGGGATGCAGACCACTGTGGAAGAAGGTCAGAAAAAGCACCGTGGTTGTCTGTCACCTAGGTCCCCCAGTGCGGACAGCAGAACACCGCTAAGCCTACACCTGTGTCCATAGTATGTGGGCTCTTAGCGGGGAATGCACCTTCTAAACCTTTATCTGCATAAGCCCCTTCCACTGCCACAGCCACAACTGTCCGTGGCTACAGGCCAAGTCTACAAAGGCCAAAGCTATGGCAAAAATGAACAAGAAGAATAAAAGGGAGTTTGTGAAGCAACATTTAGCAGTATAATCTGGATTACAAACAAGTCAGATTAAATTTACATGTGAGAGACCCTTTGGCTGCTGATGTGGACGGACACAGGGACGGACAAGCAGACATTGTCATTGTTTCAAAGGGTTTTTAATTAACACAGAAGGGAAGGAGACTTGGCTTTTGGTTCTAAGTGACACAGGGCAGTAGGCAGATGGCTCTTGGCAAAGATTATTACCCCAAATTATCAGGATTTCCCACCTTGGAAACAAATTATATAACTCATTTGAATTACGCCACCCATTACAACCCCTGAATTTTCCCCAATACGAGCCTGAAAGACAATACACTGATTCATAATGAGAACACATAGACAATTGTTCTACATAAGCATGAAAGTTCAAGCCCTACATTACCACCTCTTGATGATGCATGTTCTACGTTTCCACCACCTTTCTTCTTTTTTCCCTTTCTTTCCAGAAAGAAAAGTCATTTTAAATGTGGTAATAGCCCAATCTTCATAACAACTCAAACACTGATCTAATATTCCCTAATTGGCTTAAAAAGCCAATGGATTTTTGTCATTTTTATTTTTTAAATCAGGATGCTGTATTTGTTACATTTGCTTTTGTAATTTGGTTTAAATTATGTATTTGTCTTTTTAAAAATTCTGGGTCTAACAGAGCAATTCTAATTGGGCTCATTTCTGAAAGTCCCCTAAATGTAACACATGGCAAGGATGCTTTCAGAATCAAAGAATCCCTTATTTATAGTACTTTAAGATTATATTATATAATAATTTGTGATGATATCTTCACAACTCCAAATTGTGAAGGCCAAAGCTACCATACCTTGCCAGGTTTAATAAATCCAGCAGTAGGAATATATTGTAATTATTTGTTTCATTTTTCAGAAACTGAGACTTTAAAAAGGTTCAGTAACTACTTCAGGTTCCACTAGATTAATACATGGTTTGACCCTCAGGCTTTCTGACTCTAAAATCTGGGGCCATCACCATAATCCTACACTCATCCAGTGAAGAGTAACCACTAATACTGGTTAGTTACCTTACTAAGTGTCATACAGTGCTCCTAAGTACTTGACTATATCAACTCACATAATTTATACAACCCTATGAGATAAATACTCTTATTATTAGACCCATTTTACAGCTGAGCAAAATAAGGCAAAGAGAGGTTAAATGATTTGTCCAACAAAGCTGGAAAATGATGGAACTGGATTTCAACTCCAAGCAGTGTGAATCAAGACATCATCCCCAATCTTAAGGACTATATGCTACAATATCAGCAAGTGAATATGTTATATGTTATTAAGGTTTTTCACTTATATGCACACACATTATTCACGTGATAAACTACTGCTCCTTAAATGATAATCATATATAATTTCTGGAAATAATTTTCAAACTAGTTTCATTGCATTGCTCTGGTTGTATAATAACTTATTTAATTTTTTAACTCTAAATTTGTTTAAAAAATTTGTTTAATTTTTTATTTTAAATTTGTTTAATTTAAAAAATCATTTAATTTTAGTGGAGAAGTATTTCTCAATATTACAAAATGCACTTATTAAGATTTTAATTTTCAGGGTTTTAGCAGGCTAGCTGTATTCTTGTTAGCTAAGAAGAATGGTCATAGGAGGTGTCAGATTTCAGAGTAAACAGAAATTAAATATATTAAACTGAGAATTATCTGATCAGATTTCTACACTGTTCCCTTAGTATCCTGAAATTAAACTATACGTAAAAATAATGTATCTTTTCTCCTCTAAGTGTAAATACCTAAAAATAAAATCTAGTAAGATAGTAAATGTCCTGGAGATCAGATGCAGAAACCCAATTCTTGTGGCCAGTAGGGACTGACTGGTCTGTGCACTGTGTAGAGAAATAGTTGTTTTATCATTTCATTTAAACATAATTTTCTCAAATACAAGTAATTAACTTGGATTATGAATTAAAATTAAGTATGTCTTTTTCATTTATCCCTTAGGTGAATAACATACAAAATATTAGACCATATTAACCAATTTAAAAAGAAAATTGTGGTCACAACTTTTTCTAGCTCCCTACTTACAATTTTAGTCAGCCACAGAAAATATCAACAATGTTTTATGGGGTTTACAGTTCACTAGTAATCTCACATTATTATCTCATTTGACCTGTAATCGTATGAATTAGGTAAAGCAGACACTCTCTCATTTTACAGATGAGGAAACTGAGGCCAAGAAATTTAAGAGACTAGTTAGATGACTAATGCTGGAGTTGGAAATGCTCTGACACTGAGTAAATTCCCCTTCCATGACACCACAAACATCCTATATCATTTACTACATGACACTTGTGTGTCTAGAAGTGTTCTCAGATACTTTATTCGGTAAAACTACAAAAAAATTGAACTTCTTCAAAATATTAAAGCAGGTAAAATTTTTAGGGCCTACAATGCCAGATTTACATGATATTAGGAACTAAACAACATTGAAACTTTGAAATGACTTTCTTTTTCAGTTAAAAGGAGGTAAAATTCTATACTTCTGTATTCTGCCTACACTGTCACATATATACTTCCATACTTACATAAATACATACATATAATAGATACATCTTAACCTGCTCTTTCATTTTGCAATGTGATGGTACATAAACTAAATCTAACCATATTTCATAATACAAACATGAACACATGTATCTTGCACGTTTTTCATTATGAATGTATACTCAGTGGAAGATCTCAATTTATAACCATATAAAGGACATTAAATAGAAAATACTTACTAGTGAAGAGCCTTAGTGGTGTACATCATGATGGGAATGGATACTGGTTGGTCAATCCACAGTCCACTGAACGACTTGTGACCAAAATGTGTGCCATCACTGTTCAGATCTAAACAGACAAAAAGCGATGGCAGAGTTAGTCAATAAATATTATTTTATATAATTCACATAAGAGTATCTTACTAACCTTAGCATTAGGGAAAAAAAAAGATGTTTTATAAGCAAGCCAATGGAGGAACCTTAATTTGCACACCACTGTTTTCCACTCAATGCAGAATACATGGGAACCACACTACATAGTTACTCAGTAAGTCTGATTAGGAAGTAGTAAATTTTGTAGTAAACTGGTACATTACTGGAAGGCTATGAATTTACCAATAGGAAGCAAAACATGCTAAAAAGTAAATTTAATATCCTCTGATGTGGAATATATTTTAGGACCTATGTACTAAGCATTATAGCATGCTTATTATGAAATTTTATTTAGTCTTCACAACAAAGATACAATATAGATATTTTCCATAACTACAAACCTCACAGTTTAGAGGATAGAGTAACTGACCCCATACTCTGAACTCTACACCGTATCATACATTGTGTGCAGTGCATACATCTCTTCTTATGCTTACTTGTGTTCCACATGTCCTACAAGATGAGCAACACGTATCAAGTATTATACAGAGACATCTCTCTGATCTCTAGAGTCTACCCTGTAGTTCTCTGGTACTGTACTCATCTTAGTATGTCAAGATATAAAGTAAGATCTCATTTTGGGATAGAGTGTCATGCACATGTAAGCATTTGCTATGTAAATGAGCAAATAAATAGCAACAAGGAAACTAGGAATTGGCATATATTTTTGGTCTAAATTAACACTTTGGTATGGTCAATTCTTTCTTGCCAAAGTTATCTTCCTGTTTGCAACACAATCTCAAGAGAAGAAGGTAGAAAGAATAATCTGAAAAATCATGTGAATGAGGCTTAAATATGTTCAAAGAATGACAAACTATTTAGTAGTTTAATTTTTTTATTAAAGTATCATTGATACACAATCTTATGATGGTTTCACATAAACAACACTGTGGTTTCAACATTCACCATATTATCAAGTCCTCACCCTCTATTGCAGTCACTGTTCTATCAGTGTAGTAAGATGCTACAGGGTCATTATTAGCAGTTTAATTTATTCCAGTTGGAAAAGTTCTTTAAGAACAGAAAAAGGGTAAATAGCAAAGAAATTTTACAGACAGAAAAAAAAAATCCACCTCTCACTTCTAGAACAGATATCAAACTAACAGAAGAACTTGACTACCTTCTCTATGGCCAGGTCCCAAGGTGAGGAGACTGCACAAATAGAGGAGAAAACCCTAACAGCTAAAGGCTCTTGGCAGAAACTGCATGATCATAGGCACTAGGAAAGCTGCTCTGGACTGAGATGCTGTAGAGAAACAGCCAGACTAGAGGCCCCTATGGTCAGATCCCAAGGTACCCTGCAGAAGAAGTTAAGAGTTTAAGTCTAGAGCAGGGGTTGGCAAACTACAGCCTGCTGCCTGTTTTTAAGTCGACTATAAGCTAAGAATGGCTTTTACATTTTTAAATTATTGAAAGAAATCAAAAGAATCATGTAAATTATTTGAAATTCAAATTTCCGAGTCTATAAATAAAGTTTTATTGGAACATAACCACGGCCATTCATTTACATATTGTCTATGCCTGCTTTCATGCCACAGTGGCATTGTTGAGAGGTTGGGACAGGAAACATATGAGTCATGAAGTAAAAAATACATACTATCTGACCCTTTATAGAAACTGTTGGCTGATTTTGGTCTAGAAAATTGTTAGTTCTCAATTTGGAGGAGATGCTAATAGAGAAAGGGGGAATGCCTGCTTTCATGCCACAGTGGCATTGTTGAGAGGTTGGGACAGGAAACATATGAGTCATGAAGTAAAAAATACATACTATCTGACCCTTTATAGAAACTGTTGGCTGATTTTGGTCTAGAAAATTGTTAGTTCTCAATTTGGAGGAGATGCTAATAGAGAAAGGGGGGTGCTTTAGGGCAGACTGGAAGCAGGAGGTAGGGAATCCATACTCTACAGAGGACCTTACCACCCCAGGGGCAATGCAATAGCTGCTCAGGGTATGGCAGAGTGTGCTCTGGGGGCAGTAGGGGGTCTTCCCTGGAGGAAGCACCAGAAGGGAGCTTTGAGTCACACTCAGTCGGGCACATGAGGCCGGATGGATAAAGCTGGGCAGTAGTGTGTGTCATTGTTCCACATGGTGGGTGATGATTTCATGATGTTCTCCAGGGCTCTGACTCTCCACCTTACATGCACCAGCTTCTGTAATGACAGATCTCTGAAGATAACCAGCCCTCTTGCTGGAGTCTGAAAAAGAAGATTATAAACGCAAACAGAAAAACTCTAGGCCAATTAAAATACACTCTATCCACCCCATTTAAGAACAAATCATGGGCCATATTTAAGGATTGATAAGGAGGGTGAAGAGGCAAAACAGATGAAAGCATAAAGGCTGTAAAAAAGAACCTAAAGAATACAAGGAAACCATAGCTGTCTTTACAGAGAAAAACATTTAGGTCTGAAAGGCCCCAAAGGCAGTTAAAATAAGTTTTGCAGAACAACTATTTTGTGATCTAAATAAACAGACAATACAGAACAAAATCCCAAAGGTTTATCTTCAGAGAACTTAATTAAACTCAAATAAATGAGAAGGCATTTAAGTGGTTTCCCATTTAACTATTAATTGCATCTTGGTGAAAAGAAGAGGCATTTTTTTAATCTCAAAGACTTGCCTCTGAACACCAATTCCACTAGTTTCTTGTTCTATGACCCTGGATAATTTCATATCCAAAGTCTCATTTCTATCACCTCTAAAATAGGGTTATTCTGACAGCTGTACAACAAAATATGCATAAAATGCCCAGCAAACCTACTGCCTGTCACTTGGGATGTGTACAGTATTTGCCAGCTTCCTATCTCCTTTTGGGACTGGTCCTGCTTACTTTCTCACCATCCTGTTCTGATACTAATTTATCTACCATGATTATTACAGCTATAGGAAAATGGCCATCAGACATGCAAGTCTCTCCTGACTTTGCATCTGGGTAGAGTACCCTTTTTAATTCTGGACCCTACCCTAATCTAATGGGTAATTTGGTATTCACTTGGAAAAAAATTTTCATTCAGAAGTAAATTCTGTAATCATCCTTAATCTCTTAGGGAGAAATATACAGGCACAACATTTTGTGCACAATCTATTATTAGAATTCACACTGTATTATCTGTTTACATGTGTCTTTCTCAGGAGGTTATATATATCTCAGCCATCTTCACTGATATATCAAATGACCAACTCTAGCCTCATGGGGAAAACATATGTGTAAACACACACACACACACACACACACACACACACACCCCACATACATTTCTGCCTGTGCACTGGCTCAGCAGTGTAGATCACACCCAAGTCTTTTGACTCTTGTTGAACAGACAGCACCTTCCTGATGCCATTTGCAATCTGGAGTCTAACGATGACTTCAGAAATGCTAAGTGCATGGTAAGCTCTATGATTTGTTGAAAGAATCAATGAAGAATGAAAATCAGAAAAATGATGATGCGAAGGCAAATTTGGTGAGAATCTGGGGCATAAAAATGAACATTTAGCACACTGTTGGTGGCACTGAATGATTCATTATCCTGGAAATCCATCTGGAAATACACACAACATAGAATAAACCTCATCCTTTCATAGATTTGGGTGAACCAACTTTAGGAGTGGTTCCCAACCACAGTCTTTCCCAGTTCTTAAACATCTACTATGTGCCAGACTCTGGGAGGTAAAACCGCTCAGTCAGTTATTCTTATACTTCCAGAGGAGTAAGTTAAAGGTGAGGAAATGATATGGGAGTTTTTTCTTGACTAATGTCACACAGAGGGTAGAGACTTAAGTAAATCAAATTCTGAGGTCGAGGTATTTCCCATAACAAACTCAGCTTGGTCTCTGCTTTGTTAAAAGATGCTCCTAACAGAACACTTAGTGTACATAAGTGATATAGTTGTTCTTACTGCTATTATTAAAACTACAACCCAACAAAAGGAAAAAGTTTACCTCTATGGATTGTTAAATTGTTAAACTTACATTATGCTTGTTTTTGCTATAATAAGTATGGAAATTATGCTATATATAAATGCAGAATACAAAATGTTACATATAGGCTCCTTAATGTTACAGATAATTTCATGTAGGGTAAAATTAGTGAATATTGGAAGACAGTATGATGAAAATAATAAGGTTATGTGATTGTAGATAACAATTGAAACTCACCAATTTATTTGAGAAAGAACGTATTTACTTGAGTTCAAATTTATGTTAAAAAAACAGACAACATGTATACATTTCTAAACGTGATGGTAACATCCCAGACTTTCTCCACATTTGGAATTTCATTTTTCTTCTGAGCAACAGGAGCTGTTTGTCTATTTATTTATTTTGCTATTGGAAAGGGAAACATTTCATAAGGCAGATTTAAAAACCAAGAATTATCAAAGCCAAGTTTTCTTTGAAATGGAGTCATTTAAACTCTCTACTCTACTTAAAATAGACATCGTTTACCTTAATATTTCCCAATTAGCATAAGCAATCAACACATGATGATACTAACTCCTGCATTCAAAGATTTATATATATCTCATATACCATATATATACATACACACACACATATATGTATACACACACACACAAACACATGTGTATATGAGAGAGAGCCCTATTTTAGCAGATCCACAAAAAGAATAATGACAGAAGTTATTGAGCAAAAGATAGCTGAGACCCAAAATCATGTTGATTTGGGCTCAGGCAACTATCCCAAAGCTCACCCTGCAGAGGCTGCCCAGCCTCCTGCTCTTCATTTCAGACACAGAAACGTCAGGTAGAAGAAATCTGAAGGCAGTTCTAACCAGGGTCACTCACTCATTAAGCAACTGATGTTCTCTTATTCTCATTGCATTATAACAGAACAATGGTACAAAAATTGAAAGAATTCTGTTTAATCAGAGAAAGTACAGAAAAAATGACTTGGAATGC